AATGAATTTGAATGTGATTTTAAAAAATCTGTAACAGCTGCATATGACGTCACCCTAGGGCTTCAGTATACAAAACTTGAGAAATTATAATTATAAAATTATACCACCTACTCCACTTTACAACAATTTATTTATTTGACATAATATTTACTAAAAATACATTTGAAAATAATTTGATTTTGATTTTTTAAAAAATCTGCAAAATAAACATTCATACAGTTATACAGAATCATTTTACAGAATCTTTAAATGACTACAATAATTAAGACGAGGGACAGGACAGCGCTATTAGCCTTGGCAACCCCTAAATTAAATCAGCTGGAATTCAAATTTGCCACGCAAGTCACTACTCAAAATCATCACAATATTTACAGTTTGGGTTCATTTTATATCAGCAGTAAAATCGTATTGTGAATATATGTTTTTGCTGATTTCTATGGTAGCAGTGCTAATACACTGGTGATTTAAAACTTAATGCAATAATGAGTTAACTGTGGTTTGTTTATCAGCTGTCTCTTACAGAGAGTGAAATCAGCAAAATCGGCACGATCAAAGTGGAGGGAATCATCAATCCCACAAACGCAGAGATTGATCTGAAAGAGGGAATCGGTCAGTGCATTACGCTGCTGTTAGCTACTATTAAATTAATGTCAATTGCATTTGCTAGATGGTAAAATGCTAGATCTGTGTAGCAAGTGTCAGTTTTCCTGTACATTGAAATATGTGGCAAAAGCTCATTTAGTTTCTGTGCTGTAACACAGGTAACGCTCTGGAGAAAGCAGGAGGAAAAGATTTCCTAGAGACCGTCAAGGAGCTGAGAAAAAGCCAGGGTCCTTTGGAGGTCGCATCAGGTTGAAATCTCGCACATTTCTTGACACAAGCAGACAGAAAGCAGACTCGAATTAGAGTGTGTGCCCTAGCAATGTTCAAAGGGGCAGGAAATGACCTTGTTATATATGTTAATATAGAAAAAAAGTACAGCCGTCATGGAAACCTAGTGATACCAGCAATTTGTAGGATCATTAACGTGCCTGGAAAAGTCATGGAAATGAGCGAAATCTTCAGTAGTAATTGAAGATTTTTATAGCTTGGAGACATTTGTACACTAAGAAGTGTTCTACAAAGATTGTTACCTGACATACCACAGAAAATCAGCCCAAAACAAGTACTCATTTCCCTCAGTCCTTTGATCAAAAAGTGTGGAAGCTTTAAAAGTAAAACAAGAAAGCAGGAAGAAATCCCCTGTAGATACTGAAGTAAGACGTTTCTGCTTGTTGCCGCTGTTCTGACTGGAGCGTCTCTTATTCCCTCTGCTCTGCAGTGGCTGTGAGCCAAGCCAATGGGATGGCAGCACGTTTCATCATCCATTGTCACATTCCTCAGTGGGGTTCAGAGAAGTGCGAAGATCAGCTCGAGAAAACAGTCAAGAACTGTCTGTCTGCTGCTGAGGAGAAGAAGCTCAAGTCGGTGGCCTTCCCTTCGCTACCCGCCGGACGGTGAGCATCACGATCATGGATAGTGAACTAGATGTGAAGTTCATACACTGTGTGGCATAAACTGCATTTCGATGCAAATGTGGTGAGAAATAGTTCCTAGAAACCAGAAATCATCTCACCTCTTTGATTTTTGGTCCCCCAGAAATGGTTTCCCAAAGCAGACAGCAGCCCAGCTAATACTGAAGGCCATTTCGAACCATTTTGTCTCAGCAACCACCTCCTCTCTGAAGAACATTTACTTTGTTCTGTTTGACAGCGAGAGCATTGGGATATACCTGCAGGAGATGGCAAAGATGGACGCCAAGTGATGTTGAGTCGTGGGTTTGATTTCTTTTGAAAGTGTAACGCCTCGATGCAGCTCTGCTTTAGCTTTGCTTTGACTGGTTTTGTCGGCCTCGCCGTCGTGGGAAGGTGAAATTAGTTGAACGTGAGCTTTAGCGGAGAGTGCATCCAGGCTAGTAGGAGCGTACTAAGTGGAGTGTAGTGCATCTTGGTGAAAGCTGTTGTAGGTATATGTTTTTGACAGCAGATTATTCGAAGGTGTTTAAACAAGGATATTTGTGAGTGATGTACTGTACACATTTATGTTTCACTGTTCTCCTTTAAAGTAAAGACATTCATTTAGACTAGATCAACTTAATCTTCATTGTTTGCTATTTTTATCCTTAGAATGATCTTTTTACATTCCATGTTCAGAGTTGAACTTTTGACCATTGTTTTTGGCTAGATATCATGTGTGGTTTCTGACCGTTTTGGTTTAAAAAAAAAGAAAAACTGTGTTTCTTGTTCTGCTTTGAAATAAAAAATGTTTTACACCACGGGTTGAGCTCTTTTTCCATACAAGTTGAAAATCCCTTTAAATTTTCAAAACTTTTCAGCATTTATTCAGTCATGTTCATCCAAACCCCCATTTTCTTTCTTTCTTTAAAGGGGTCATGTGATGCGATTTCAAGTTTTCCTTTCTCTTTGGACTGTTACAAGCTCTTGGTGCATAATGAAGATCTGTAAAGTTGCAAAGACTAAAGTGTCAAATCCAAAGAGATATTCTTTATAAAGGTTCAGAGTCAGCCACAGCTACCTAAAACGGCTCGTTCTAACACGCCCCAACATATCTACGTCACTATGTGGAAATATTAGCATAACGCCGCCCAAATGTTCAAGCAAAGAAAGAAGGCGTAACTTTTATTCTCGCTGTAGTTTTGTTGTTAAAGGGTTCTCATTAGTCACATGACCTATGGATTACTTAAAGACCTCCTGTGGTGAAAATCAAGTTTTTTATGTTTATTTGTGGTGTTTTTAATATGCTTTTAGACAAACCATGTGCCAATTTATTTATCAACACCATTGCTGAGTATTTTCTCCTTAAAACTAGTTTCCCAAAGGCAGTCACAGAAACAGCCTTTTTTTTTCTACGTCACAAAATTGAATAACCAATCGCGTCAAGGGATCCTATCCTTATAGCATATCATTAACTGCTGCAAAGCAGAGGGTCTAGTGAGAAGGCAGCCAGGCTAATCCGGTAAAGTTATATTTTTTCTGTAGATGTTTAGCCAACTGTTAATATTTCCCCCTATTTTCACGATGTCATGTGCTGTTAGCGCTTATTTATTTGTATTTAGAACCGCTAACTTGAATAATAACCCGCGGCGGCAGTGTAAAAGTAGCCCGGAGTCAGACGCACCTCTCCCGCATTGACATCGGCGCGTCACACGCGTTTGATCGCGGGCGCGATTTGGAATCACAAACTTAGCTGCATTTGAGTCTTCAAGGCATTTTGAGGACACAACATTGTCAAGTAAATTTAACGAATGTTACAATATCCACTGTAGCTGTCCGCTAGTAAAAACAGTTGTATCAGTCATTATCCGTGTACGAACCAGCGCAAACAGATAATGTTACCTCACGAAGTTAGCCATCAGTCTCCTTGCTTACGTTGAGCATACCAGCTTATTTCTGGTTCAAACACATATGGCTTAATTAAACCAATATTTCCTCTTGCCATTGTATCGCATTTAATAGTTCATTTCGTGGACCAGGAGGCGCTGGCTGGTGTGTGACTGAGTGGAGGCGGGGCTCATTTGCATATTCATAGATCCGCGTATAGTAAATGAGGCAAGGGTGTAGAGTTGCATTCAAGCTATTTTAAGGCATGAGAAATTTGTTTTCACAAGGAAAAACATTTAAATATGTCATTTTGATGATCAAAGATGAGTTTTAAAGGATAATGTTTGACTACAGGGGGACTTTAAGCTTTTTTGAGGAGTTTGGCGGTATAAATCAACCTCCAATGTAGATTAACGGGATAGTCTGCACAAAAATGGACATTTTCATCGTTTACTCACCCTCATGTCATTCCAAACCTGACTTTGCAGGTAACCAACCCGTTTGTTACCATTGATTTCTACTGTATGGAAAAAAAAAATAGAAAAAAAAACCGCGAGGCATGAGGGTGAATTTTTATCAATTTTAATTTTTGGCCGAACTTCATTCTCCTCTCTGGATCTTAGCCTCCTAAATTATTCTAATTAAATAAAGCAATAAAACATGATTGACATAAGAGAAAACAATGACACAGGATTAGGATATTTTACCATATATTTATTACATTGTAAAAAGTACATTAACTTTTATTCATATATATATATATATATATACAGATTATTTTTATTGAATTACCAGTTGACTACAGAATTGGTTCCTGATGTATCTAAGAATGCAGTACAACAAGTGAACATACAAAGAAAAGAAAACGTCCATCTGTCCACAGCCACCTCTTAGGTTTGTGATGGTGTGATCATTGATCTGCTGTCACTGCAGTGACAATCTACATTAAATTAGTCTCATTCTCTGACGAACCTACAGTCTCGGTACTGATCCGAACATTGCATAAGTCTCAGGTCAAACGCTGATCGCTAAACCTACTTGAGCTGCTCGTGGGTGGTCTTGGCTGATGGAAGGAGGTGCAGGTCTGAGAGCTATTATACTTTTATATTAGTGAATTTTATAGCTCTCGTCTGAGATCTACTTCTCATGAAGCATTCATTAATTCATACCAACCTAAAAGTGGTCTGTAAACTTCCAGAGCCGAGATCACCGCAATAAAGCGATAGTTAATAGAAAGAACAGCAAAAACGTATATTTGGAAGAAATTAAGTATTGTCCAGGATAAATTCTTGAAAGGGAGAGCTACAAAGAGCAGAAGTGCCTCAGTGATACAGCATAAAACACAAGCAACAAAACCACCTCTCTTTAAGACAACTTATGAATAAAAATACCCATCAAAATAAAATCAAACCTGACATACAGAGTTTAGCTGGTTCGTTTAGTTGAAAACATCAGCGATGTGTCTGGAATGTTGTAGAGATGCATGATAATTACGTGATGTCATCAAAACAAGCCATATTTTATTGTTTTTAAAAAAAAAAAAAGAACTGGACTTAAAGGGACAGTTCACCCAAAAATGAACATTCGGTCATCCTCTACTCACCCTCATGTTGTTCCAAACCTGAATGACTTTCCTTCTTCTGTGGAACATCAAAGATGTTTAAAGAAATGTTTTGGTCCAATAGAAAGTCATTTGGTGACAAGCTTGTTTGGTTTCCAACTTTCTACAGAAGGTCCACAGAAGAAAAAAATGCATACAGATTTGAAATGACATGAGGGTGAGTAAATAATGACAGAATTTTAATGTTAGGGTGAACTGTGCTTTTAATTTTCTCACTAATGAACCATGAATGGCAAACATTACGTGGCTACATCTCTGACTTTTTCTCTGGAGCAATTTACGGCAAAACTATATAATTAAAGTGTAAAAGCCACAATAAGAAACCATATGAATTGTCAAAATAAATTGTTTTCTTCATCATACTGTACAGTTTTATTTAGCTGGAGCGGTGATAAAAGCTAATGTAGTTTTTTTTTTTTTACGGTTTCATTAGCTGGACCCAGTGTGCGGTACACATTACCCATCAGCCATTCTCTGTGATCACTGCCTGAGTAACAACTGCGTACTGATACATTAAAATCTGCTCTGACAGGTGTAGTTAACCTAACCGACCGAAATCCAGTCCCATCAATAATGATCTGTCCTCCAGGGTGGCACCTTCCTGTTTTGAATAAATACGATCATCTATGTAACATCTCTAACTGAAGGACATTCAAATCCGAGCGGTTTGGGAGTTGCTTTGATGTTTGAAAAGAGGAGAGGCAACCATGCATGTCAATGTCCTCTCACACGCTCTTGTTCCAGGTAATTTAATAGTGTGGGCTACAGCGAGTGAACAGTCAAATCAGATGCCTCTCCTTCAGACGCACTCTTTGGGCTGATGTTTGAGGGGCGGGTCAGTCAGTGGTGGCCGGGGCAGCAGGGGCACGGGTGAGGTAGCCTCTATGAGAGCTGGGTTCAGGATGATTGGCAGGGACATCGGCGGGACACCCACTTGCAGCGGAGAGGCGAGGGGCTGCAGGATGAGCGGAGACTGGCCCAGAGGCGGCGGCAAGGACTCGGGAGGACTCATCTTTGCTGGAGTGGGCATCGGAGGTGTTGAGGGAGGAACTGGAGATGATCTGTCTGATCCTGCACAGAGGAAAGAAAGCAGAAAAGTTCACAATATTTTGACAATTTTCATTGAGAAAAATTGTAAATTTTTCAATTTTCATTGAGAGAAAATGTATTTTGATATACAATATTCTTCAAAAGTTTGGGGTCAGAAAGATTTTTTTTAATAATAAATAAATGCTTTTATTCAGAAACTATGCATTGGTGTGACAGTAAAAACTATTGTAAATAATAAATAAATGTTAAATTTTTCAATTTTCATTGAGAGAAAATGTATTTTGATATACAATATTCTTCAAAAGTTTGGGGTCAGAAAGATTTTTAATAATAAATAAATGCTTTTATTCAGAAACTATGCATTGGTGTGACAGTAAAAACTATTGTAAATAATAAATAAATGCTGTTCTTTAGAATTTTATATCCGTTAGTGTCATAAATATATCATTTTCCACATACCAAACTGCCAATTATTTAAAATAATTACTTTTTTTTTTTTTTTTTTTTTTAAG